TCAGTATTTAGCCTATATTTACATTTAAGAATATGCTTTGTTTTGCCATTGTTACATGGCTGTATACTCCACGCGCTCTTACCTCAGCCAACACCTAAGCAATACAAACAAAGCAGATACACAGAGCCAGCCAACAGCCCGCTCAAACAGTTCCATGATTAAGTCTTATTAAAAATAGTACAAACTGATCTGATAGACTAAGAATCAATGAATAAACCTCCATCTGCTTTAAATCCTGACTGTACCCATCTCAATGGCAACATCACAGGGCTCAGAGCAGCTATGTTAGAAGCTGTCATCAATTAAAATGAAAGGACTCTTCTCAATTATGTTCAGTCCGAACTCCTTTCATTGGGAAGAGTTTTACAGCGTAAGAAACTGTTCAGATCAAGTTGAAACGTCAAAAGAGAGCAAGGGACTGATCTTTGGTAATTGTGGTAATTATTTACTTACCTACATGCAGCAGGTACTTACCTTTCAGCCAGCTGTTTGATTAAATCAACCCCTTCTGTGCTTTGAAGGCTCTCCCTTGTGCACACACAGAGGCTCATGCCAAATGGGCAGCTATTTACCAAATGTCCAGCCCTCCGAGATCCATAAGTGAGAGGGAATGGCTCTTTATCACCCCTGAGGTTCCAGTTTAGTTTACATACTGACATAGCACATTAACAACTTCAGACTCCTCATAAAAGATGTTTCTATCTTTTCATACCATACAGTGTTTGACACTTTCATGGTCAGAGTGAGATTCCAATCCTCCACCCAAGAGACTGAAACTTTACAGCTCACAAAAGTTGAAAAGATTTACTTATTGACTTTTTAACCCTTAAATTCATGAAGCAGAAGTCACACTTCAGAACCCCTTCTTTCCTCCACCAAGTGCCTAGCTTGAACAGCCAATTATTTTTTCTTCATGCCTCTGATGTTTGTACTCTCTGCAGCACTTCATCATAGTTCCTACATGGGCAAGACTACCCCATACACTGTGGCTTATGGCCTGGTGGACAAGTAACTTAGTGTCTAGGGGATGAAGGTTTCAGTTCCTTGAGGAAAGGGATTATGCAGGGTTGGAAAGGAATTGAATCTAGGCTCACATTTTTTGAGCCAATATGTGCACAGCAGGCAGCAGGACCTCCTGCCCCTCTTGGGGTCATACTTAAAGAGGAATGGACACTGCACCTTCTCTCACCAGGGCATAACCAAGATCATGGAGTGCGCTATTACAATCCAAGTGCAGAGATTTCAGACCTACCATCACTTGTTTCCTAGTAGCTGCATCTAGGTAGCTCATCACTCAGCCTAAAGGGCTTTCAGCCCAAGTCAGCTTTCTGAAGAGCATAGTATACAAAGACAGATGCCAAACTCAAAAAAACACAAGCTGGACTTTTGGGTCTGGATGCCTGTTGGTTTTCTTTTAAATGGATCTGGATCTGAGATGTATCCCACATTCTCCAGAGAGGGAGAGAAGTGTGACAATGAGGTTCTGGCTTGCTGTTATGCTTGGGTTATGTTCCTCCTTCCACTCAAAAGTCAAGAGACTTAGAGAACTAATGCATAGGTATCAAGAAGCTGAACCATGACTATCAAAACAGCACGAATGATTTGCAGCATACCTGATATTCAGTGTAATTAGGACCTGAAGCACCCATTAGCCATCAGAAAATGGACAAACTAGTTTGTACCTACACAGGCTAAAAATGTTACCATTTAAATACTACCATCTACTGGTTTGGGCTTTTTCCCCCTAACCTTGTTCCTAAGGCTGACCTTTTCCCTCTCTTCTCCTTAACTGTGGACTGCCAGTTTACCCATAAAGGTCCAGTGCTGTCCTCTCAACAAGACACCTCTGATGCCTGCTTAGTCAGGGACTCATCATGCAAGTCCAATACTTTCATTTAGCCCAACATCAACTCGGACAAAGGCTACAGCATCTGGCTTCCAGTTCTGTCTTGATCGAGGTGATGTCTGTTAGACTTCTACCTTTTTTTTTTTTTACTCTCAGTTTCAGTTTCCTTTTCCTACATCCTTTTATTCATGGTTAAATGTTTGTCATCTTCATCCAGGAAGCAACAGAGTTTCTAAAGAACAGCAGAATCTGTAGAGCTGAGATATTTAATGCAGCTCAAGCCACAGTGTATTAATTGTTTTCAGGTGAAACAACACTAATTTTAAAGTACCACATGGAATGTGGACGCTCCCAGCAAATCAGACATTACAGGTTCACTTGTTATTTGTGCTCCTACACTCAGGAAAGTGACTTGATCTTCCCCTCCTATCTGGACTAATGAATATATCTTATGGCAAGTACTTTGTCTTAGCATCGTCAGTTCCCTTCCGACTGCATTTGGGCTGTGAATTTTTGAGGACAGCAGATTTCTCCCTATCAAAAACATACTATTTAAAGCAGTTGAGAAGTGGCAGGAAAAGGGAAACAGAAGAAGGAATCTTTACCTTTTTTTGAGCTTTTGAATGCCATGGTAAGCATGGTTTCAGGATAAGTTTTCAGCAAAGCATGTAAAGTACTGCTGAAAATTATTTCCTCCCAAGTAAGACCAGACAGGAATACTCCCACATCAGCCAGCTTCCATTTCCATTCCATTCCATTCCAGTACTGCAGTACCTCAGTTCTCTACTGAAAGCAGGCTGAGTGTTTGCACCTAGTTTACTGGATGTCCAATTCAGCAGGTGACTGCCACTTTCCATCCAAAATATTCACCTTTCCTCCAGTTCCCCCAATTATAACACTCTCACCAAAATATGAAAAAAAAATCCACCAAAACTGGAGCAGTCTAGGTTTTTTTTTTAAATTTGAATAGTATTCTGAAGACAGAGAAAGCTGGTAATGTCTCTTCTGCAAGAATTCAGGAGATTTTTGAAAATTGTTTTTACAATTCTAAACAGTCCTACAATCTCTCCCTCCTCACTGCTGGAACTGTGCGGTCCTCTCTCATTTTCAGCTCAGTGTGCCATGCAGTGTGCCATCTGCAAAGCTGTGTTTTTTCTGCAGGTGACGCATGCAGTTCTCAAATCCCTGCATGCATTGTCCCAAAGCCCCTGCAGTAGAAACCACTCGTGCTGCACTTATTATTATTTTGCCCAAACCCACTAAAAGAAAGAAATACACCCTCTCATTTGCTGCGATTGCTATGAGTGCTTCTTAAGTAATACTTTCTGGAATGACTGCCCACTAAATAAAATGGAAAAAACCCCAAAACCAAAACAGATCTAAAATACAGCAACAGCTATTGAAATCACCTTCAATGGCCTTCTCTAAAATGTTACATCAAGTTATATGAATAGTACTACAAGAAGTAACTTTACAACGGTCACGTTATCACAGAAGGAAAAGGAAGCATATCTAAGTTTCATGATTTTACAGTGTGTACGTGCACAAGGCTGAGAGGAAAACAGCAGCAGCCAGAGTTCATTCCTGAAGGGTGGGACTGTATGTTTGAGAGAAAGAAAGGACAAGGACCGCCACAGGCGCTGCCTGGCAGCCGCGAAGGAGATGAAATGCCAGTAGGTGGCACTCAAATCTGCAGCACAACCCCAGAGCTGGCAGGGTCCCTGAAAGCGGTGCACTGCAAGCATCTGTCTGCGAGCTGGGGGCTGAGATCCCAGCAGACAGACAGAAGACGTGGGGGACTGGCAGCCTTAATGGTGTCTGAGGTGCTGCGCCGCTGCACGCGAGGCAGCCGGGCCGCAGAAGACCGCGCGCTGCAGGTGGCAGCCGGGTAGCCGGTCCGGCCACAGTAATCTGCCCACCGGCACGCAACAAGGGTAGGTACATTCTCCACTGCAACTTAGACATCTTTCACTGCCTGGTCACTTCCCACCTCACCACATAACACTAGCCTCGAGACCAGGGGCAGGGGGTGCCTAGCTTCATAACGGATTTTACACAAGTGTATCAGAGCAGGCTAAGGAGGGCAGCACTCAACAAAAGCTCAGGGACAAGTCACAAGGCAGGGCAATTCTCAGTTAGAGAGCTTTGTTTCAAAAATTAACAGGCTCCCTCCAGTGTAACCCCCACATCCACAGGAGCCAGTGGTGGGCCACTCCAAACAAGCACCTAGGCTCTTAACCACTGAAAATCACGATGCGCTACTCTTCTGTGCAAGAAGCTGTCCTGCATGCATAAATCATCATGTGCCCGTGCTGTTAATGTTTGCCAAAACTTTGCTTCCTTCCTTACGGTGTTCAGAGTTCCCAGAATCCCTTAAAAAAATATGAGGAAACATACCATTAATACCAAGTTACTTAGTGCCTTCTAAAGCACATTGAAGACTATGAAACAAAAATATCCTGCTCTGTTGATAAAAAACATATTTTATCCTTTTTCCTCCTCATGCTGCCAGTTCCAATGCTTCTCCTCATAGAGCTGCACCCACTGTCGCTCAGCAGCTGCTGCTCGACCCATCCCTTTGTATTAGAACTTGCTTTTGCTCTGCTCTTCCCCTCCTCCCAAGTAGTAATGTATGGGGACAGCGCTCATCAGCGGTTATTTTCTGAAGGGCTCAGGTCACAAGATAGCATTTGTTCTCACTGCCACAGCTTCCAGCGGAGCTGGGAGAGCAGGTACAACTGCCACAGATCCAGGGACTGGTGTGGGAGGGAAGCAAAAGAGGAGTGGCGTGAGGAAGCTGAGCTGCAGCTGCTTTGCCTCTGCTCCAAGTTCCCAGAGCAGCTTTGTCCTCAGCCCTTCTGGCACAGAGTTTTCCCCAGCCAGGAGAGCTTCTCCAGCAGCAACCGCCAAACCTGCAGTCACTCCCTGGATGAGAAAATTCCTCAACCGCCTTTTTTGCCAGTTCCTGGAATAATCTGCACCAGAGACAGACAGAGTTTGGAAGAATCATCTGAAGAAAATTGCTCCCCAAAGGAAAGACACAGAGCATTGGAAAACCCAAGCATTCAGCCTCAGGCCACCAGTAACACACACAGACCTTCCTGGTAGCAGTCAGGGCTACAAGCAACTGCACCCTGCCATCCAGCCTGCAGCCTGGCTCCATGGAGGAGCAGGAAGACAACTTTGTGCTTTCCCTCAGAGCCAACACCAGCAAGTGCAGCCTTGAGACTAAGCAAACGCAGACCCCAACATGCTGGTCAGGAGCAACCAGGGGTGGCCCGGAGGTGGTGATTGTACCGGTGCTTTTTGCGTTGATTTTGCTCCTGGGAATGGTGGGAAACACATTGGTGTTGGTTGTTTTGGGGCATCTCTGGCCTGGGGGACGCCCATCGCACAGTGCTACCAACATCTTCATCCTGAACTTGAGCATTGCAGACTTCTCCTTTCTGCTCTTCTGCGTCCCCTTCCAGGCCACCATCTACTCCCTGCCAGAACGGATCTTCGGTGCCTTCTTTTGCAGGTGGGTTCACTACTTAGCCATGGCAACAATGCTGGTCAGCATCTTTAGACTGGTGGCTATGTCTGTGGACAGATACATTGCTGTGGTCCATGCCAAGCGTTCACCCTGCATCCGCAGCAAACACAATGCTAGCCTCGGAGTCAGTGTCATTTGGCTGTTGTCTCTACTCATTGCCATCCCTGTAGCCCAGCACCAGGCCCTCATGAGTGGTCATCAGCTAGCATCCAACAGCTCCTTCTGCTGGGACCACTGGGCAGATGGTTCAATAGCCAAGAAGATGTACAAGATTGCCATCCTGTTGGTGGGATACCTCCTGCCCCTGGTGCTCATCACCTGTTGCTATGCCAAGGTGGGTGAGAGGGATGCGAGTAATGTTTAAATGGAGGGAAAGATCACTCCCAGATTCTTGTTGGCTTGGATGTGCACACTCAAGCTACCCAGCCAACAACTGACAGATCCAATCCCTTCCATATTCTCTCGTGATACAGAATACTTCTCTGAGGCAGGGGGAGGGAAGGAATATAGAGAGTGAAATTACACCGTCTCACAAAAAGGATCACAACTGCTAAGTTGGTACCCAGCCTAAATCCAAAGGACACCCAAATCCCCTAAGGACTCTTGCTGCTTTTCCTATTTTTCAGTTTGTTCCCCCTTGATAATAAATGTTTGTTCCTGGCAAGAGGAAAAACCCATGGAGGGAGAAACTATGCAGAGAGTCTACAGAAATAGTATTAGATAAAGAGATAAAGACATCCCCCCAATTTCTTTTTTTTTTTTTTTGACACAAAGCTCAGACACTGTGTCTTGCAACAAAGACTTGCAAAAAGAGATCTTAGGATCAGAGTTTTATTCAGCAAGAAATAGCTTCTTATCTCCTTATGGATTGTTATCACTTTAATTTTTTGTTTCCCCTTATTGATCTTTAGCATGTTTGAGACTATAGTAAGCCTATGAGTTGTGCTAGCATGCAGAATAAGTTTTCTGTGAATTTTGAATTAATACCCTATTGTGCAGGGACTGCCAGGGACTGGACTTCTTTGTCGCTAGTCAGTTGCAGGTCTACCCTCTTGGGGGAGAAGAAAAAAAAAAAAGACAACGTTTTCCTGGAATTTAAGTTCATGTCTGTTCAATTAAAAGCAACATTATTTTCAATACTAATCTGTTCTGCTATCATCAGTACTAAGAACAGGATGCTGCACTTAGATTTAAGCTATAAATCTCTAAAACTCAGGCCTTGCTTGTCACAAAAAGAAAGAGCCACTAGAAGTCTTAACTCCTGTCACTGTAGCTCCAGCTGTTTGTCCCCTCACTGCCCTAAGTGATGCAGCAGCAACTGCAAGGTGAGCTGCATTTAATAGAGGCTTCTCATTAATTGCTTTAGAAAATTCAGTCTGTTAGCTCCAAAGGCAAAAAGTATAAACATTGCCAGGTTACTGCTGTGCTGTAATCAGGTTTCAAAAGCTTGATCTAGATG